CGAGTGGTTTCTGAGGAACTTAACTATGTCATGGAATAAAACTCAAGAATATATAAGGAAATACAAAAATACTCATCTCCCAGCAAGGGAACAGTCACAATGTCTAACATGCAAATGAATATTCCCATGCATTCAAATAAGCAAGAAAATCTTACGCATAATGTGGAGAGCAGTCCATCAATAAAAACCAAGTTAGAACTGACACAGATATTAGAATTAGTAAAGAAGGACATTAAAAATTATTATTATTGCATCCTATCTATAGGTAGATACTTAGAATATGGTTTTATTTGTTTGTTTTTTGTGGTACACGGGCCTCTCACTGTTGTGGCTTCTCCCGTTGTGGAGCACAGGCTCCGGACGTGCAGGCTGCAGACACGCAGGCTCAGCGGCCATGGCTCACAGGCCTAGCCGCTCCGCGGCATGTGGGATCTTCCCGGAACAGGCACCAACCCATGTCCCCTGCATTGGCAGGCAGACTCTCAACCACTGCACCACCAGGGAAGCCCAGAATATGTTTTTTAAAAGGCACAAATTAAATGTCTAGAGGTGAAAATTATGTCTTAAATAAAAAATACACTAACAGCATATTAAATGTTAAAGAAGAAAAGATTCATGAACTTGACTGCACAAAATACAAGCTATCAAAAATGAAACACAGAGAAAAAAGAATTTATAAAAATGAGTCAGACATAAATGATACCTTACAGCAATTACATTAAATGTAAATGGATTAAATGCTCCAAGTGAAAGGCAGAGGTATGATTCAATTATATGCTGTTTACAAGAGACGCACTTTAGATTCAAAGGCACAAATACATTGAAAGTAAGAGGATGGATAAAAGATACACCAAGAAAATAGTAACTAAAAAAGAGCTGTAGTGGTTATACTAATATCAGACAAAATAGACTTTAAGACAAAAGTGTTACTAGAGACAAAGACGAATATTTTATGATGATAAAAGGAAGATATCAGGAAGATATAATAATTTATAACATTTAGATATATAACAATTATAAACATATATGCACCTAACAACAAAGCCTGAAAATACATGAAATAAAACATACAAAACAGAATTGAATGGAGAAATAGGTGATTCAGCAGTAATAACTGGAGACTTCAATATCCTGTTCTCCATAATGAATGAATAGGGATTCCCTGGTGGTGCAGTGGTTGAGAGTCCGCCTGCCGATGCAGGGGACACAGGTTCGTGCCCCGGTCCAGGAAGATCCCACATGCCGCGGAGCGGCTGGGCCTGTGAGCCATGGCCGCTGAGCCTGCGCGTCCAGAGCCTGTGCTCCGCAATGGGAGAGACCACAACAGTGAGAGGCCTGCGTACCTCAAAAAAAAAAAAAAAAAAAGAATGAATGAATAACTAGGCAGAAGATCAACAAGGAAATAGAAGACTTGAACAACATATAAATCAATCAGGCCTAACAGGCATCTGTAGAATACTCCACCCCCAAAACAGCAGAATACATGTTCTTCTCAAGCCGACATTGAATATTCTCCAGGCTAGACCAATGATAGGCCACAAAACAAGCCTCAATAAACTTAAAAGGGTTGAAATCAACAAAGAGCATTTCCAACCACAATGGAATTAAATTAGAAATTAATACCAGGAGGAAATTTGGGAAATCCACAAATGTGTGGAAAATAAATAACACATTCCTAAATAATGAATGGGCCAAAGAAGAAATGACAAGGGATATTAAAACATATTATGAAATAAATGAATGTGAAAGCACAACATGCCAACACTTAAGGGTCAGCTAAAGTCATGCTTAGAGGGAAAGTTATGGCTGTAAGTGCCTATATTATAAAAGTAGAAAATCTAAAATCAATATTCTAATTTTCCATCATAAGAGAAGAGCAAACTAAACTCAAAGCTAGCAGAAGAATAAATAATAAGATAAAAGTGGAAATAAATGAAATAGAGAATAGAAAAACAATAGAGAAAATCAATGAAACCAAGATTTTGTTCTTTGAAAAGATCAATAAAATACAAACCTTTAGTAGACTGATAAAGAAAAATAGAGAGAAGCCTCAAATTACTAAAATCAGAAGTTAAAGAGGGAATATTACCATTAACCTTAGAGAAAAAAAAGATTACAAAGGAGTACTATGAATAATTGTATGTCAACTAATTAGGTAACTTAAATGAAATGGACAAACTGAAAGTGATTCAAGAAGAAGTAAAAAATCTGAATAGACCTATAATAAGTAAAGAGATTGGATTAGTAATTTAAAATTTCCCACAAATCCCAGGCCCAAACAGCTTCACTGGTAAATTCTACCTAACATTTAAAGAATCAATTCCAGTCTTTTACAAACGATTTCAAAAAATAGAAGAACTTAATCTGTAACACTAGTATTATTCTGATACCAAAACCAAAGATATTGTAAGAAAGTAAATTTTCAGATCAGTATCCCCTGTGAATATAGACATAAAAATCCTTTAAAAATACTAGCAAACTGAATCCAGTCATGGAATAAAGGGGTACACCATGAGAAAGCAGTGTTTATCCTGGGAATATATCCAAATTTGGTTTAATATCTGAAAATCAATGTAATACACCATCTTAATAGAATGAAGCACAAAAACACATGATCATCTCAGTTGATGCAGAAAAGGCATTTGACAAAATCCAGCAGTCTTTCATGGTAAAAACAGTGAAAAAAGTAGGAATAGAAGAGAATGTCCTCAGTCTGATAAATAAAGGGCATCCATGAAAATCCCACAGATAAATAGCACCATATTTAATGGTGAAAGACTGAATGCTTTCTTCCTAAGATCAAAAATGAGGTAAGGATGTCAGCTGTCACTACTGCTATTTATCATTTTACTGGAGATACTGGCCAGGGTAATTAGGCAAGAAAAAGAAATAAAAGGCATCCAGATTGGAAAGAAAGAAAGAAGTAAAATTATTTCTATTTGTAGTTGACAAGACCTAGCAAGGTTGCAGGATATAAATGAAATCCTGCAATTTTTTTTTTCTTTCTTTTGTCTGTGTTCGGTCTTCGTTGCTGTGCGCGGGCTTTCTCTAGTTGTGGTGCACGGGGGCTACTCTTCATTGTGGTGCGCAGGCTTCTCATTGTCGTGGCTTCTCTTGCGGCACACGGGCTCTAGGTGCATAGGCTTCAGTAGCTGTGGCACATGGGCTCAGTAGTTGTGGCTTGTGGGCTCTAGAGCTCAGGCTCAGTAGTTGTGGCGCACGGGCTTAGTTTCTCCACGGCATGTGGGATCTTTCCGGGCCAGGGCTCAAATCCGTGTCCCCTGCATTGGCAGGCAGATTCCTAACCACTGCAAGTGACAATATGCAAGTCAGTTGTACTTCAATGCACAAGCAATAAACAATCTGAAAATGAAATTAAGGAAACAAATTTACAATAACATCAAAATAAAATAGTTAAGAATAAATTTTTAAAAAAGAAGTGCAAGACTTTTTCATTGAAAACTACAAAGAAGATCCAAATAAATGAGAAGACATCCCATGTTCCTGGGTTGGAATACAATATTATTAAGATGGAAATACTCCCCAAATTGATCTACAAGTTCAATATAATGCCTATCAAAGTCTCAGTTGGCTTCTTTTGAAGAAATTGTCAAGCTGATCCTAAATTTCATATGGAAATGCAAGGGACCCAGAATAGCTAAAATAATTCTGAACAAGAATAAGAAAGTTGGAGGACTACACATCTTGGCTTTAAAACTTACTAGAAAGCTATGGTAATGAAGACAGTGTAATATTGGTACAAGGACAGACATATAGATTAATGGAATAGGGTTAAGAGTCTAGAAGTAAACCCGTACATTTATGGTCAACTGATTTTTGACAAGGATGCCAAGATAATCTAATAGAGAAAGAACACTCTAGATACTCACACTTGAAAGAATAAAACTGGATCTCTACCCCATACCCACAAAGAAATTATCTCAAAATTGGTCATAGACCTAAATGTCAGAGCTAAAATGATAAAACTCTTAAAAGAAACCATAGGAGTAAATCTTTGTGATACTGAGGCAATGGTTTCTTAAATACAACACCAGAAGTACAAGTAACAAAAGGAAACTAGATAAGTTGAATCTTTCATGCTTCAAAGGACACCATCAAGGAAGTGCAAGACAGAATTATCTGGCTGTCCAGTGGTTAGGACTCCATGCTTTCACTGCCGAGGGCCTGGGTTCAGTCCCTCGTCGGGGAACTAAAGTCCCGCAAGCTGTGTGGTGCGGCCTAAAAAAGTAAGGATGAGAGTGATAAGATAGTACTAAAATAAAAATACTGCCAACATAGAATTTGCTACCCAGAAAAAAATCTCTTTAAAAAACAGAGGCAAAATAATAACTTTTTCAGAAATACAAAAGCTGGAAGTATTTATCACCAGTAAACCTACACTACTAGAAAGAAAGTCTAAAGGAAGTCATTCAAGCAGAAGGAAAATGGCACCAAGTGGAAATATGGATCTACACAAAGAAGTAAAGAACACCAGAAATAGTAATTACCTGGGTAAATATATAAGATTTTTTCTTATTATGTAAATCTCTAAAAGAACTGACTGTCTAACAATGTGTTGTGGGGTTTATAGCATAGTTATAAGTAAAATACATGACAAAAAAAGGTAGGAGCAAAGAAATGGAAGTGTACAATTTAAGGCTCTTTTATGTAAACTGATATCACTGGAAAGTACTCTGTAATTAAAGATGTATACTATAAACACTAAAGCAACTACTAGTAAAACAAGAGTTTAGCTAGTAAGCCAACAAAGAAGATAAAATGGAGTAATAAAAAATATTCAGTACAAAAATAGGCTGAGGGCTTCCCTGGTGGCGCAGTGGTTGAGAGTCCGCCTGCCGACTCTCAACCCAGGGGATGCGGGTTCGTGCCCCGGTCTGGGAGGATCCCGCATGCTGCGGAGCAGCTGGGCCCATGAGCCATGGCCACTGAGCCTGTGTGTCCGGAGCCTGTGCTCCTCAATGGGAGACGCCACAGCTGTGAGAGGCCCACGTACCGCAAATAGAAAATAAATAGCATTCATTAATTACTGTGGTGGTTTTAATGTGTGTCCAAAAATTTTTCAGTATTCCTTTCTCCAGAAAGTGAAGCTCAATTCTCCTCCCCTTAAGTGTGAGCTAGACTTTGTGATTCACTTCTACCCAAGAGGGTATGAAAAGGGAAAAAAAAAAAGTAACTTTGCAGTGGAGAAACATGGCAGACACCACCTCAACCAAAGGATCAAGATTTACATCAGCAGTAAGTCATGATGACACAATGCACCTCTAACATGATGTGATGGGAAGAGTACTTCACTTTTGTGGTAGACTTCCTCACGATCCATAATCCCAATCTAATCATGAAAAACATCAACCAAACCCAAATTGAGGGGCATTCTACAAAACACCTGATCAGTGACCTTCAAAAGTGTCAGAGCCATGGGAAATAAGGAAAGACTGTGAAACACAGAAAGACAGATTGGAGGAGACTAAGGGGTCATGACAACTAAATGCAAGGTGATAGTGGACTGGATCTTGGAAAAAAGGACATTCGTGGAAAAACTGGTGAAACCCAAATAAAGTCTGTTGTTTAACTTAAAAAAAGAAAAGAAATGGCAAGATGATAGACTTAAACTTAACCATGTCAGTCATTAAAATGAAAATAGTCTAAACACCCCAATTAAAAGGCAGTGATGGTCAGATCAGATTAAAAAACTGTGACCAAAGTATATATGCTGTTTACAAGAAATACAAATGAAATATAAAGCCACAATTAGGTTTAAAAGTAAAAGGATGGGCACCCGCCCCCACAGGGGTGGGGAGACTCAGCCCCTCAGGTGGGCAGAGACCAACCCTCCCGCGGGGACCTGTAGGCCGCCCCTGAGGACTCGCAACAGAGCCCAGTGCAACTCTTGTCCTTGGACTGGGTGCCATGGACGCCTTTATCAGCTTCACCAACCAGACCCAGGGCCAGGACCAACTCTTCAGAGCCGCTAAGTACACATGCATGTTGCTTAGATATTTGTTAGAGCCTAAAGCTGACAAAGAGGAGGCTGTTATGAAGCTCAAGAAACTGGAGTCCAGTGTGAGCTCTGGCCGTAAATGGTTCAGACTAGGCAATGTGGTACATGCTGTACAGGCGACTCAGCAGAGCATTCATGCCACTGACCTGGTGCCCCGCGTATGCCTAACATTAGCCAGCCTGAACCTTGTGATTTATTTCATCTGTGACCCCATCATCTTCGTGAGGAGTGCAGGGCTTGCCTCTGGCATTAACAAAGAGAAATGGTGAACGTGGGCTGCACGCCATTACTACTATTCTCTTCTGCTGAGCCTGGTCAGGGATCTGTATGAAATCTCCCTGCAGATGGAACAGGTTGCACATGACAGGGCAAAGAGGGAGAAATCACCATCCCAGGATCGTCTTGGGTATAGCGTGGCTAATGAGGAAACAGAATGGCTCCAGTTCTTTCTTCTTCTCTTATTCCGATCTCTGAAGAAACATCTTCCCTTGCTCCTGAACACAGTGAAGAACTTCTGTGATATCTTGAACCCTTTGGACCAGCTGGGGATCTATAAGTCCAATCCTGGCATCATAGGCCTTGGAGGTCTCGTGTCCTCTGTAGCAGGCATCATCACTGTGGCGTATCCTCAGATGAAACTGAAGACCCACTGAGGTGGTTTTGGGCTGAAGACTAGTACCTGCTTTCAAGACAACCTGTTAGTGAAATGGACATTTGCGTTAGGCACAGCCATGTCATGCTGTGCTTACAGACTTATTCACATGAGCACTGAGTGACCTGCGATGTGAACAGAGGGGCCAAGAACGGTGGAGGGGAGAACGTGAAGGCTTATGTGTTTTCTAGAGCGCTGGAGTGACTTCTGAATTTCTGAGTATTTTTCCTTCATCTAACATTTATTGAACATCTCTTTCGTGCATATTAGGAACTTACTGGTTGCTGAACGGATAAAAATTGAAAGAGAAAAATTGAAAAAGATCCAAACTAACGAGTGGACACTAATATAAGCGACTTTTGGGCCATGTGCCTCACTACTTTTGCCCAACTACAGTAGGACTGATACACACCCTCTCTCAGATCTAGTAGAGGCCCCTTATTCTCTGATCAGTTACCCCACTTCCTCCATAGTTGCCAGTGCCAGGATAGAGGAGAGCTGGGCTTATAGCCTCTTAACTTGACTTTTACATCACTGTGCTCCTGTCCTTCCTCTGTCCAGTAGTAAAATCAGAAGTGCATCAGGCACCTTCATAGTATAAATTGTGTCTTTAGGTAATGCAGTGAGGAAACAAAAAATCTGAAGCAGATAGAAAGGACTTGAGGTAAAAATAATGTGGTAAGTCACAATTGATGCCTGCGGGTTTCCCTATGACAGATGAGGAGACTGAGGTTAAAACTGAGGACAGAACTGACTCCCAATCCAGTGCTTTTTCCGTATTTCACTGCCTTCCTGATTGAGTGGAAGTGCAAGACTCTCCAGAATACTGTGCGAAAATCCTTTTTTAGAACCTGTCTTGGTCAGTGGTTTATATTCTGTTCTACAAAAATTAAAACTAGGGCTTCCCTGGTGGCGCAGTGGTTGAGAGTCTGCCTGCCGATGCAGGGGACGCGGGTTCGTGCCCCGGTCCGGGAAGATCCCATATGGCGCAGAGCGGCTAGGTCCGTGAGCCATGGCCGCTGAGCCTGCGCGTCTGGTGCCGGTCCCCCACAAAGGAGGGGGAAAAAAAAAAAAAGAGAAAAAAAAAGAAAAAAAAAAAAAAAAAAAAAAAAAATTAAAACTATATATAGATCCACCAGTAGGATTGTTTATTTAAAACCATATAACAGTTTGGGCACTTATGCATTAATTTTCATCAAAATTTGTGCAGTTGAGAAATTTCACGAATACGATGAAAATCTACTATATTCTACAATAAATCAGAGTTCATATTTGTAGGGTGGTTGGGGGAGGTAGAGAAGAGCAGTAAGGGGCTAGTGAAGAGGACAGTAGAACGATGAGTCAATGCCACTTACTCGTGTTTCTACTTCTCATCTTGGATGTTGGGTTCTTATTTGTGATTACAGATCCTCTTAATTTGAGGCAAGTGAGGTAGAGAAATAGGGTACCATCAGGTAAGAGGTCAGTGTCAGTCCTACCAGTAAAGCCATCACATTGATCCGAATGGAAATGAGAAAAGAAATGTGCACTAAGTAAATTTCCCATAAATGTGATTGAGATTCTTAAAAAGTAGACTCACGTTCTTGGCTCTCTATTTTTAAAGTGACCAATCAAGATACAGGATTTGAGAAAGAACATTTTGGGAATTTTAAGAGAAATAAAAGCTGCTAGATCAGGGCAAATAAAAAATTTAACTATTTTTACTTTGTCCAGATCTTCTACTGTAATAAATTATGCCTAATAAATTTATAGACAAAAAAGAGTAAAAGGATGGAAAAAGATAACAATAATCAAAAGTAAACTAGAGGGACTAACTAATATCAAAGTAGATTTCAGAGCAAAGAATATTACCAGGGAGAAAAAAATATCATTTCATAGTGATGAAGGGATAATTCATCCAGAAAAAAAATTCAAAAATGTTATGCACATCAAAATACAACCTTAAAAATATATGAAAAAAACTGACATAAATAAAAGGAGAAATCCAGAACTATAGTTGGAATTTTCAACACTCCTTTCTCAGTGACTCATAAGTAGGTAGAAAATCAATAAAAGTATAAATGACTTTAAAACCACTGTCAACCAGCCTGACCTAAATGACATTTATAGAACACTTCACGCCCCAAGTGCAGAATGCAAATTCTTTTCAAGCACATATTCTAGGCCAAAAAACATTTTTTCATTCATTTAAAAAGATTCAGACCATGTAAAGTATGTTCTTTATCCACAGTGATATCAAATTAGAAATCAGTAATAGAAAGATGTCTAGAAAAATCCTCAAATATATGGAAGCTAAATAATACACTTCTAACTCACTATGGGTCAGAAGAAGTCAGAAGGGAATTTAGGAAATATTTTGAACTGAATTAAAATGAAAATGTAACACATAGGATGCTGCTAGGGCAGTACTTAAGGGAAATTTATAGTGCTAAATACCTAAGTGAGAAAAGAAGAAAAGTTTCAAATCAGTAACCTAACCTTCCACCTTAAGAAACTAGAAGAGCAAATTAAATCCAAAGTATACAGAAGAAAGGAAATAGTAAAGATTAGAACAAAAATCAATGAAATATAGCACAGAAAAATAGAGAAAAATAAATGAAACCAAAAGTTGGTTATTTGAGAAGATCAATATAATTGATAAACCTCTAGGCAGACTGATAAGGAAAAAGAGATTTAGGACACAAATTACTAATACCAAGAATGAGAGAAGTGGCATCACTACAGATTATGCTGGTATTAATAAGGATAATGAGGGACTATTATGAACAACTTAGATACTAATAAATTCAACAACTTAGATGAAATAAGCAAATTCATTTTGAAAGACACAAACTATCAAAGCTTACTCAAGAAGAAATAGATAACCTGAATAATCCTATCTGTTAAAGAAATTAAATTTGTATTTTAAAATATTCCCGTGAAAAAATGACAGGCCCAAATAGCTTCACTTGGGAATTCTGCTAAACTTTTAAGAAGAAAAAAATACCAATTCTCACAGACACTTCTAGAAAATTGAAGAGAAGCGAACACTTTCCAACTTATTCTATAAGGCCAGCATCACCCTGATACCAGAACCAGACAGACATTACAATAAAAGAAAATTACAGACCAATATTCCTCATGAACATAGATGCAAACATTCTAAAGAAAAAAGAACTCATAATTCTTTACTAAAAGCAAAACCCCAGTGCTTCTCTTAATTCAGTTGAGGTTTCTGGTAGAAAGCCACATGCATTTATATTTCTAATAAGTATGTAGTATAGATGTACACTTTGGTATTTGGTATTCCTAAAAAACTGATTCTAGTGAGGAAGCACTAGAACATAAAAAAGCCACAAACAGAAATGGGTTTGCCCTCTGGGGGACTTTATAGCTGCCTTCACTATATAAAGGTAGTACACTGGCCACCTCTGCTTATACATCATTTAATTTTTTTGACACTCTGGATAGGATTTAACTTTAAGGTGAGCTTCTTCTTTGTTTCCTTTGGCAATCACTTTAACATTTTAAAAATTCAGCAGCAATTACCACTTGTAATTTCAGGGTTTTAAAACTCCTCCTATGACTTCTAGAATATTTAAAACTTATAGTATTTAGATAATATTTCACCCACCATTGTCTCATTTCTCCTGAAATTTGTCAAGGTTTGAAGTAATGAATGTAAAAGAAATATACTGTATGTATATTTTAAAAGTTCAATTTTTCAATGCTTCATTTCCTTCAGTGCTTTGTATTTGTTATGTGTATTTTTTCATGATAATCTTAACAGATAATAATCTTTACTCATAAAATTATGAACCAAATATGTTTTACTCATATATTGTTTTATTAGAAATATCTTGGTTAACTTTTGCATTCATGTCTATCATAAATCCTCAATTAATTGGGTTACTTAAAGGGTGTATACAGTGCTATCCTTGGTCCACAGAGGGCTAACCAGCTTTGTTATTTTTTTAATCTTTACGTTTGTTTTAACTCTTGTTCCTAACCACATAATGTGCTTTTTAACAAGTAAAGATTCTAGCAACATTAGTAAGTTCTTGCTGATACGTTTATTATTATAATCACTACTTTTAATTTTGAAACTCTAAACAGTAAATTAACCCACAAGATCATATGGGTTCTACGAAAAATACATTGCAATTTATTGTAAATATAGCATTACTATAAATACTAACACTATTGTTGCATAATTATTTAGATTAAATTATGTTATGATAAAACTGTGTCACTTAAGAATGAATCAAAAACCTATTTGGTGAGACACTGAAAATTTTATTGTGGTAATTGAGTGCCTGGATTATGCATGGATGATAAACAAATTAAGGATATAATCGAAAGAATTGCTACCTTGGCTTAATGACTCTCCAAAGGTTATATTCAAATAATTATCCTTCATTTCTAGGTTGATAAAATAATTAAGTTAAAAATGTGACCCTAAAACTGTTTTAGAAAACCACTGCTATAACAACAACAACAACCATCATGTTAACAAATAATAATAGCAATTATTACTACCACTAGTAGAGTACCACCATTTGGTGAGCACCTGCTTTGAGCCATTCACTGGGTCAGTCAGGGTCATTTAATCCTCACCACAATCCTCTAATGTAAGACTTACTATCCTCATTATACATACAAGGAACACTCCCTCAGTTTTCTTTTGTGGAACCACATCTCTTCCATTGTTAATTCATACAGTTTAGGTAGATTTGCTCCAGCCCCAGTTTCTAGAGGGGGCAACAAAGCTTAGGCCTGGCCAATTTGAGATTCTCATCCCAGTGGCCACAATGTTCGCTTTAAAGAGGCAAGTGATGCAAGCTGAGTCAGTGAAGACTTCCCCAAGACCATTTCTGGAGCTACTGTTTTCAGTAATAGTATGGCCTATGTCAGATAAGATTGCTGCAATACATGTGGACATTCAGGATGCGAAATTCAATTCACTTGTACTTCTTCCTGTGTCTCTAAAGTTATGATGGAAGATTGGAAACATTCATGGGCCCACCTGAGCCCTGCTCCTATGATTCATGGGGGCTCTTAACCTCATATTAAGCCCAAATATCAGTGAAATCATGGTTTTGATGTGCTATGTCTTTTCTGATATAAATTAAAGTAGACACATTATCATTAAGAAAATTTTATCTGTGTACTACCTAAAATGATTTCATGTCTTGCAGTGGTCTGCATACCACATTTTGGGAAATTCTGGACTAGAAAAGAAGTCACACTGTCCTGTGTTGTTTAGAATGCTATTTTTGTTTATGCATTTGTATTTAAAGTTATGACACCTACCTTCAAAAAAAAAAAGCCACTATGAGCGATTATTGGGGGAAAAAAACACACCTAAAGGAAGAAACATTTTGGATTGTATTTTAACTCATATTTTGTGCCAATATAGAAATGAAGCAGTTATGAGATGGTCCGTTTTTGCATATTTGATAAAGTTTTTCTCTTGTAATCCACACCATTTCTCTGGAGCCTCACCTGTAGCTCTGGGCAAAAAGAGGCTAGAGTCTAATGGCTCCAAAGTTACGATATCTTTCTCTCACTTTCCTGTTCAAATAAGACCTTTCACTTTAATTTCCTTCTGTGAATAGTTATAGATTAAGCTCGTGAGGCTGGGCCATGTCTGTTTGGTTTACTACCATATCTGTAGCACCATGCCAGTGCTCAGCAAAGAGTAGGGGCTCAATGAATATCTGTTGAATGAAAGAATGAATGAATGAACGGATGAGCATTTTCATACACAGGCTTGTCAAGTGAGCAAGTCTGGTATTATTATTATTGATGGTGGAACTGAGGCTAGGAGAAGTTATGAGGGGTCTTTAATGTCGTATAATCAGTGACAGAATTGGGAT